AAAAAGGAAACAACATTTATGTACATTTATTTTTTAGCTATTTTTCCACCGATTAATTAAATATTAATATTATTGATTCATTGATATTTCCATTAATTACATAATATCTATAATTGATTATAGATTTAAAGAAATATTATATTTATAATTTTATTAAATTTTAATCATTAATTTTTGTTAATTAATAAATTATCATCGACAGATTGACATAAATCAATAATTAAAATTTAATTATAAGAATTTATAAATTAAAAAATTTGTAAACATAACTTCCTCATAAATTTATACATTATTATTGATGCAAAAAAAAAAAATTACAATTTTTTTATCTATAAATTTAACTATATATTTTAGAAAATATATTTATTCATATATAAATTATTCGGAATATATAAATAAAAAAATTATAAAGATAACCTGCCATTATAAAATAATGCGTTATCTTTATATTTTGAAAGTAAACGTCTTTTCAAACCTAACAAATACGTCACATCCATTGAATTATTCACAATGTTCAACCCTCCACGCACTGAAGGAACACAGAAATTCAAACATGGAGAACCTCCTCTCACTATTTCTATTTCACATGCTCGCTCTTTTGTATCAATGTTGTTAAAATTGAGGTCTTAAGTAAAATTAAAAGAGATTAAAAAATTATAAAATATAAAACCATAATGTAAAAAATATAAAAACGTAAAATCGTAATGATAAATTGAAATTTTAACAAAAATGTTTATAACGAAAGGATATCGAGTATCTTTATTACTGTTGTGATACCGATCACTCGATGCGACTCGTTTAAAATAAATTATATATTTTATATTTTATAAAATATATAATTATAATATTAAAATTATTTTTCATATATCAAATTATACGTTATATTTCTGTTGATAAGATGTACATATTATAACAGTAGTGTAAATTTTTTCCTATACTCGCCGGAGTAGCTCACCCATCTTTACCAATTTTACATAGTTAACTTTATTCTTAAAGAAATATATACATATATAATCCGGTCTAATATTTTTCATATTATAAAAAATAAATTTTATCTTATATTTATATAAAAATATATGAAGTTTATATAAAAAGAAAAGAAAGAAAGAAAAAATTATACGTTTCATGTATTTTTATGTATGTAGAGCAGATAAATTTATCTTCTATAATATAAACAATAATAAATCCTTTATAATTTATGCAGATTAATTAAATAATGTAACAAACTTTTATTTTGTATAAAGTTCTATATATTTAATGTTAATACTTTAACATTACAACTTTTATCCTTGTAGTTATACCAATTTTAGACAAGTCTGCCGACTTTGACTAATTTTTTAGCTTGAATAGTGGTGAAACCTTTTTGTGTATTTTTGTTAATAAAAACAGCTCAGCCCCTTGTTCAAATTTTTATGCAAGCGTAATTGTAACATCCCAAGAGCTGGCAAGGGCAGCGAGTGATCGTCGATGTGAAAGGGCACGGACAATGAGCAGTTCATGCCAAATCTTGTAGCTTAGGGGTTCATGAATGAATCGAATCAACACCCGAAAGAGAGGAATTTCAGAGACTTGCTGGTATGGGACGGTACAGTTAGGAATGACTTATAAGAATTAATTGGTACTACCTATACTAACAAGATGCATCTACTTTTCGGTAGCCCGGATCGAAAGAATTCCACACTTAAGCGTGCTTGACTTGGAGCAATTCTGGGATGGGTGACCTCCTGGGAAATTTTCTCGGAAAGTGTGCGAGTGAGGACAATGCACACTGAAAAGTCTCGTGTTAGTGTGTGGGGACAGTCATTGATTCTTGCAAGTGGTCGGGCGTTACAAGTTGTATCAGAGCAGAGCCTCTCTTCCAGTACAGTGTGGTTCGAGAATGAATCGGGCGGAAGCTGGTGGGCATGTAACATCCCAAGAGCTGGCAAAGGCAGGGAGTGATCGCTGGTGCGAAAGGGCACGGACAATGAGCGGCTCATGCCAAATCTTGCAGCTTGGGGGTTCATGAATGAATCGAATCAACACTCGAAAGAGAGGGATTCCAGCGACTGTGCTGGTATGGGACGGTACAGTTAGGAATGACTTATAAAAATTAATTGGTACTACATATACTAACAAGATGCATCTACTTTTCGGTAGCCCGGATCGGAAGAACTCCACAATTAAGCGTGCTTGACTTGGAGCAATTCTGGGATGGGTAACCTCCTGGGAAGTTTTCCCTGAAAGTGTGCGAGTGAGGCCAAAGCACACTGAAAAGTCTCATGTTAGTGTGTGGAAACAATCATTGATTCTTGCAAGTAGTGGCCGGCGTTACAGTAATCGTTCTTAAATTAGATATTTTTATCATTCCATATCATACTCTCTTTCTTTCATTGGAAAAATATCATACTTTTGATGCGAAAATCATCTTTCTCAATCGTTTATCAATTCGGTTGGAATATTAGGTTACTTGTTCAACCATTTGAATTAAATATATATAAAAGATATAAAACAAAAAAAAAATTATAACTAATAAATAGAGTTGATTTAGTGATAATTGGTGTAAGTTATTATTCATATGGTCTAGATTCAAATTCTATTGGTAGTATTTTTCAAGTATCTTGTTCAAAATTTTATTTTATTTTTAAAAAAAAATTGGTATCGGTTTAACACTAGTTGAACCTGGTTCAGAATTAGTTCATCAATTTTATACCTAATTAAATACATAATCAGCCCAATACTTAAATCAAGGAGAATGTACAAACTAACAAATTATACTATGTCTGACCGGTCAGACTTTACTTAAGAGTATATTATCAATCATATATAATGTAATTTGTAAGAATTTCTGGAAATTTTTTTTTGTAAATATAATGTTTTCCGATATCAATTAGGTCGGTGGCCCGATTTATAGATTAACTAGTGAGATCGGTTTAGTCAGGTCTGGTTTTATAACATTCTATCACATTTTTAGTTTGCTGTGGTATCACATGAAGCTAATGTAGATGAAAAAAGGATTTTTGACATTTAAAAGAGATTTATTTTATATAAATTATAATAGAAAATTATTTTCTTATATTGTTGAAAAAAAAGTATCTCTGCAAAAAAAATAATTATTTTCTACGGATAATATATAGATATAATATTGAAATTATTTTATTTTCTCTCTCCTCATATATTGTCGACTGACATTACTAAAAGAGAAAAAATAATTTTTTATATCTGTGTACTACTCATAAATAGTATATAATTATTTTTTTACATGAAATAATTTTTTTTAACAATATAGAAAAATGGAACCCAATTGTAATTTAAGCATGAACCAGATTGATGGGTATGTTGTCTAAGACATTGAGTGGATGATCACCAACCAAGAGATTTGAATCCGTGCAATGAACATGTTATAATTAAATCTGCAATTAAAGTGCAATAAAAATAAAAAATGAACTCATAGTATATATAAAAGAGATGTTAATATGTAGATGAATTTGAGCCCAACAGATGTTGTCTCTTTAAGACAATTTGTTCCCTCAATTGATGCCGAAGGTTGTTGAACAATTATCTCCTAATATAGAACGGATTGTATCTTCCGAACGATGACATTATCGATCAGAAGCCCGAACGAACACAACTGAATGTCTGAAGAATCACACGGCAAAAAAATTTATTTAATTCTTTTTAATAAATTAATTACGTATTTATTACAATTTTGGAATTAATTACACATTTATTGCACAATAAGACGCCCATTTTGGGCTTCACCAATGACGCCTAAATTGGGTGTCATTCAAGAGGCAATCACGCCTAAATTTGGGCGTCACTCATTAGGTGTTGACACGTGTCATATTTTTTTCCCAAAAAAATAATAATTTAATTATAAAACTTCTTAAGACTATAACTTTTGACTAGGGTATTCAAATCAGGTAATTCTTTTTTTGATTCCACATAACTTTTTGAGATCTACGCAATGACATCTCATTTGATATTTTTTATTTCTCACAAACATAATTTAAATTTGCGAGAATGGTATCCTCACAAACATAACTTTTTCAAATTGATTTTTTAGTTTAAATCACAAATCAAATCTTTTTTTTGTTTTCCTTATTAATAACTATAGTATAGATGCACAATGCATAGAAAAAACTTATCTAAATTTTTTGACTCTCTATATATTTATAGAAAACGTAAGGTTACGATTTAAAATGCACATTTTCATCGATGAAACAACACATCCGTTCGACCATTAAAAGACACGTCAGTTCGACATTAAAAGACACATCAGTTCGACATTAAAAGATACATCCGTTACGTAAAAAGACACTCCTTTTCAGATCAAACTTCTTATTCATAAGATATAGTATGAAATGCACAGAGCAGTTCTTTAATAATTAATGATTATTAATAAATACGAAAATGAAAAAAATGGACGTTGATCAATTAAAGCAATTAAGCTAAATAATTAATTAAAAAAAATATTGTTACAGTTAAAAAATAACCTCTTCAATGATCGTTAAATGGACACACTGACATCGTATGTAATGTAGTAGTACGGGTTTGACATAATTGAGTTTAGGAACAGACTAAATAACACACGGTGGCAAGGCAAATAATTGGTTGTCCCAAGCCATTTGCTTGAGAAAGTCAATGGGTTAATTCTGTTGATGATTAATTTTATAAAAAACAAAATAAAACATCCAGAATTTAATGTCTGTAAATGAAATTTTATTTTATTTTAAAATTAAAATGAATTAACTTGGGAAGAAGAATAGTACAGGATACACATGCAAAAGAGACACAAAAAGCAGCAAACAGTAACGGAGTAACGGTTGCTAGGAAAGAGGGCAAGAGGGCTTGACTGAGCGAGCGAATAGAGTGGGGCATATGCGAGTAGAATATCTGGCCGTGGAACTGTTTTTTCGCTTCTCTTTTATGTTTGCCTATAAAAACTTGGTTACTCCCTTTGCCTTCTTTATGCTTCACCCCTTTACATGTTCTATCTTCCTCCTTTACACACACTTTAATTTTCATTCTCTACATTTCTACTAGCTTCTTTCACTTTCAGGTTAGTGTTAGAACCCCTTCTTCTCACTTTCCCAATATGTATATAATTTTTTTTTTTTTTTTGGAATTATCTATTCTGTCATGTGTCATCCCATGCATGCATCATGCTACTATCACTTGGTTTGGTAACATTTGTGTATCTTTGGATAGTGATATCAATCAATTGTGCTTACATGCAGCGGGTAGTGATAATGTGAATATCGTCTTTATTTTGGTGCAAGAGCTAGTTTATCTCATAGGAATTCACGCTTTTATTGTTTATTTTCCTGTTTCCTAGGCGTTTTCTTTCTTGAAAGATTTATTTCCTTCCCATGTGTATTTGTTCAATTCAATTTCTAGAACAGAGTTCTAGAAACTACGAGTGCCTACTACCAGTTTTTGTATATTGTTTGTTTTCCAGTTTTCGAGGTGTTGTCTTTCCAGAAGTATTTGTTCAATTTGATTTCTAGGACGGTGTTTAAAAACTATGAGTACCTACCATTGTTTTGATATCTGGGGAAACAAAGTAAAACGCTCTATTTTCTTTGTGTAGAATTTCAGCTTCTCACATCTTTCAACTGGTGGTATAATCATTATTGATAGGTTCTTAACTTCTTCATAATGAACTGGTGATATAATTGTATTTGTATTGGTTGATTTCACTTGATAACATGCTCAAAATGATCAGTTATGCTTAAATTCGTAATACTTCTAATAAAAACTCTTGACAAATATGTGAAATCTGCCTCTTGGTTCCACTTTTGCAGAGTTAAGAGAAACAAGTGATTTGGTTTGAGAAGTCATGGCGAAAGAGCAAATTCAGGTGCTAAATGCACTTGATGTGGCGAAAACACAATGGTACCATTTCACTGCCATCATCGTTGCTGGAATGGGCTTCTTCACCGATGCATATGATCTATTCTGCGTATCCCTTGTTACAAAGTTGCTAGGTCGCATATACTACCATGTTGACGGTGCAGCAAAGCCCGGTTCATTGCCTCCAAATGTATCAGCTGCGGTAAATGGTGTAGCTTTTTGTGGAACACTTTTAGGCCAGCTTTTCTTTGGCTGGCTTGGTGATAAATTGGGAAGGAAAAAGGTCTATGGCATGACTTTGTTGACTATGGTAATATGCTCCATTGGTTCCGGCCTTTCTTTTGGACATACTCCAAAATCTGTGATGGCAACTCTTTGCTTCTTCAGGTTCTGGCTTGGTTTTGGTATTGGTGGAGACTACCCACTTTCTGCTACCATAATGTCAGAGTATTCTAACAAGAAAACTCGCGGTGCCTTCATAGCTGCAGTCTTTGCCATGCAGGGTTTTGGAATTTTGGCAGGTGGTATATTTGCAATAATAATTTCAGCAGCGTTCAAGACCAAGTTTGATGCGAAACCTTATGAGGAAGATCCAGTTGGTTCAACTGTTCCACAAGCAGACTTCATTTGGAGGATAATTGTGATGGTGGGAGCAATCCCAGCTGCATTGACTTTCTATTCTCGGATGAAGATGCCAGAAACTGCTCGTTATACTGCTCTAGTGGCTAAGAATACAGAACAGGCAGCAAAAGATATGTCAAAGGTTCTGCAGGTTGAGATTCAAGCTGAACCACAGAAAGATGAGGGGGCACGGGCTAAACCATATGGTTTGTTTTCTAAGGAGTTCCTCAGACGCCATGGACTACATCTACTTGGGACAACAAGCACATGGTTCTTGCTTGATATTGCATTTTATAGCCAAAATCTCTTCCAGAAAGATATCTTCAGTGCAATTGGTTGGATACCTCCTGCAAAAACCATGAATGCTATTGAGGAGATTTATATGATTGCAAGGGCCCAAACACTTATTGCTCTGTGCAGTACAGTTCCGGGATATTGGTTCACAGTTGCTTTTATTGACAGGATTGGAAGATTTACTATCCAATTGATGGGATTCTTCTTTATGACCGTCTTCATGTTTGCTCTTGCCTTTCCTTATGATCACTGGACTCATAAGGAAAACCGAATAGGATTTGTGGTGATGTACTCCTTGACCTTTTTCTTTGCAAATTTTGGGCCTAATGCTACCACATTTGTTGTGCCAGCAGAGATTTTCCCTGCTAGATTCAGATCTACTTGCCATGGAATATCATCTGCATGTGGGAAGCTTGGGGCTATAGTTGGTGCTTTTGGGTTCTTGTATTTGGCACAGAACAAGGACAAGAGCAAAGCAGATGCAGGGTACCCAGCAGGTATTGGTGTGAAGAATTCACTGATTGTCTTGGGTGTGATGAACATTTTAGGCTTCTTCTTTACTTTCTTGGTGCCTGAGGCAAAAGGAAAATCTTTGGAGGAGATGTCAGGTGAGAATGAAGAAAATGATATTAATGAAGAAGCAGGGCAATCACGTTCTTACACCAACAGAACTGTTCCATATGCTTAAATTAAGTTCATCTGTAGTGTTGTTATAATAAAGCCATGCCTTCAATTAGGCTAGGGTAGCACAAAAACCTTTCCCTTCCGCTTTTTCTGTTAAGTTTTGTTCGGACACTATGTAGCAGGAAATTTGGAGCTGTTAGTTCTACGAATATTGGCAAGAATATTAGTTACATTTGATCTGAAACCATTATTGGAGTGAATAGTGCTTTCAAGTTTCATTTAACGACTGTGTTCTTCTTTTATTTCGTTTCCTTTTTGACTTAATTGTTGTTTCAATGTTTCTTTCTCTTAAGTCTAAGGAAAACGATAGCATGATATGAGGTATGTGCCTGATTAAAATATTACAAAAAAAGTTACAGTTGGATAAGTGTTAATATACAAAAATAAATAATAAATAAATGCTTATCTTCTAAATCTGTGAGCCCATTTAGATGAAGACAATATAACTTTGAAGTTGAAACTTATGACCCTAATCCTTACTAGTTGAGGTGCCCGTCTGTTTACGGCAGATGCTTTCAGCAAAATTTGACTTTCTACACTTCACATGCGTTCGCTTATTGAAACTATAAAATATTTATTGGGGAGTTGGATTGGCCTTTTCAATGTTATTATCTTCACTTTTGACTAACAGATGAAGCTAGTTTGACTTGTTAGGATTGTAGCATTAATTTATTATGATTGTTTGTAATCCTCATAAATACTATAATCGTAACACTAATCGTAACATATTAACGCTACAATTGTAACATGAGTTGTGGTAAATACAGATGAAGCTTTTTTACTTAATAGAATTTGTGTTCAACCAGTCTTTAAATGACTAACAGTCTTTTTTGTAATGAGCTATAGCTAAAGTTCTATATGCTTCATTCTACTAATTTTTCCATTACAACATTAGACATTTCACATTTGTAAAATATCCTCTTCATTAAAAACTTCAAGCCAGTATACCAACATCCTTTTGCATGCTTACAATCGTCAGCGTGATTATTTTGGGGTTAGTTTATTTTATTTTTTCCTTTCTCCTAGTCTATGCTGTTCCAAGCCTATTAGCCTAATGGCATGGATGATAATCATTAAGCCAATGTCTCTTGAATTTGAATTCTTTGATATTTTTGGGCTAACTTGTTATTAGATTAATCACAAAACCATGTTCTTACTTCATACGGTTCAAACAGTGAAAGATCTATGCAGTATTGTCCAGTGTCCGAAGATAATGAAAATATTTTAAATCCTGTTTGTAAGTTTATTATTTATGACAACGTTCATGTTCTCATTAGCCTTCCCATATAACTTCTGGACTCAAAAAAGACCACTTAATTGGGTTGTGGTGATGTAATGAATGACTGACTCGCTTCTTCACCAATTTTGGACCCAATGCCAAAACATTTTGCTTGCAAGGTTCTATGTAATTTCTTCAGCATCAGGAAGTTTGGAACTAGGTGAGTGTTCTTGTGCCTAGCATAGGACCAAGACAATGCCAAAACGGACGCAGAGTATCCCCACAATATTGGTGTTAAGAATTCACTCCATTGTTTTTCGTGTGATAAACTAGTTAGATTTTTCATCAGCACCTTGGTGGTTGCTGAATATCAAGTAAAGGCTTTAGAGGAAATATCTGGAAAGAACGAGGACCCAGAGGATATAAGATCAGCCAGAAACTGATAAGCTATGGCCTTTTCCATTTTACTTTAATTTTACCGCAAACAGTTTTTTTAGTCTCAATCAATTGCACAAGATTCAATCCTGTATTTCTCACAGACGATCATTATTTCCTTTTACCTTGTTTAGAAAGAGCATAAGCAAGAATGAGTGAAATCGTTATCTTACCTATAAACAACCAATACAAACCAAAAGTTTAAGTTATTGGATGAGGTTACATTAATGGTTTTATATATCTCTAACACTTCACGAGACTTATTTAATTATTAATTAAATAAGGACGGTGAGGATCGAACCGATGACACTGAGATTCTAATATAAAGAACCAATTTAATCCAAAAGCTTAAACTATTGGGTGAGGCTACACTAAGAATCAAACCGTGACACCAAAGCTCCGATACAATGTAAAAAAAACCAATTCAGTGAAAATTTAAGCTTTTGGGTGAGGATACATTTATATATCTCTAACATCACCAATGACTATCGTGCTTCACTGTAGTCTGCTCTGATAGGTTCATCATTTGTTGGTTATCGCTATGTGTCTGTTCTTTGCCACATTGAATTACTCATGAAGGAATCATGATAAGTTAGCTTTCAAAAGCAAATATTGATAAATGCGAGTTTTGAAATTACCTACGGATACTTTGTTAAAGTTATACCATGGGATTTAAATATTTAAGAAATCTGGTTCCATAAAGTCATGGTCATACAGAACAGTCAAGCAAACTGGAATTTACAATAGTAACTGCCAAAAACTTAAACCCATCAGCCTTCAGGTTCATATTATTTGAGGTATGTTTTTGTGACAAGATGGGCTTTGCACATGATAAAGCATGGAGAGGTACTTCATTGAAAGTAGAACCTGGTAGATTTTGTTAACAACATAAGTAACAGCATATAACATTTCAATGTGCACGGTCTCTGAGCACTTCAAGATCCATTTCTGTGGGGTCAGTAGCCTGGATTTCATAATGGACACCATCTAGCTCACGTCTTAACCTGTCTTTAGTCGTGGCATAGAGCATCTTGGCACGGATTCGAGATGTTGAAGGGGACCTAATCAAAATCATGCAATGAATAACTAAGAAAGATATCTCAATGGCAGTGTTAAGATCATAGCGATTTAGTTACAGAAGAACAAAGAGAGATGCCAAAGATTGTGAATATATTCTCTTGTGTATAATGACATGATATGATATGTTACAAATGACAAAATACTAACCCTTCTACTCAAACCATAATTAAACAAGGAAACAAATCATAAAATATATATAGATATATGGAAACTATTCCTAAGAGATAATTTAAGATACTCTAAACTATTCTATGATATAAACATGATATTATGAGATATCCTCTAATTATTCTAACAAGCTGAATCATAGAAAAATAAATTGACTAGGAGGCACGATGTCAAGGATGGAAACAAATAGGTGAAAGCTGGTACAAATAAAGAACTCCAATCCAAGTTTGTCCTTCACAAGAAGGAGATGAGGAAGACTAAGTCCAAGTGAGATATTTCAGATATGCTTCAAATAAATGATGGACAATATGTTGTTAGGAAGTGGTAACCGAAGATGCCACTAAAATACGAATGGACAATTATTGGTCAGTGTAGTCTTTGTGTAGACCATCAGCTCAAACAATGCAATAAATAGAGTACTAAACCAATTCAACCAGAAAAACAATTAAGTTTTATTATCCATAGTTTTATTTGTACTAACTTTTCTGAGAGGCAAAATAAATAAATCAAGGAATAACATGCAATTCTAGCTGATGAAGTAAACATGCACCATGGAAAAGAGCATTTCCTCAAGAGCCCAACATCCTATTTGAGGACAATAAATTATCCCCTCCAGTCTTCAGAAGAAGATCATATTTAAAGGGACATTCTGAAATTTGTAACTAAAGAAAGCAATACTACAAAATAGCAAAGCACGCAAAGCTTAATCTCATTCTAGCCAGTAATACTCTATATGCAACTGATAGAGGATGCCCCTGAATAAGTTGATGTCTAACAGCAGCAACCAAATTGGAAATGGGGCAATTTAAGTTGCATGGAGCAAAATATCAAAATACTACATTTACAGGCAGCCCAATCATGTAAAAAAATTGTATCTAGACAACAGCACAAGAAATTTAGCCCAAGACAATGAAACAATAAACATATAGCTCCATGACCAGAGAAAGCACAAAGAATGACACTAAAGCATTGCAATATTTACATAAGCTTAAAATAATTGAATGGAATGGTGATTTCGAAACTGCAAAAAATATGTTCATTGCGTACAAATCTTATTTGCTGCAGAATTTGCTTTTTTGCACAAGAAAATGCATATTAGGTATCATGTCTTACAAGCATCTTGGTGCAACAATACTTTTAATTACAGACAAAGTTAAGAACTTTTTTTTAAATAATAATAATCAAAATAGATAGAAAGATCCTGAACAAACTAACCATGCAATGAAGAAGATTTTGCTCTTCTGACAATTCTCAGAAGTGACAAAATCAAAGTCAAACACAGCATATCTGCAATCATTCTCAGGCAAAGAAGCAGTGAAATCATCATAGCTCTCACCAGGACCACCAGTCTTCTCAACCAAAACCTCCCTTTTCTTTTCATCAACCTTAAAGATCACATAACGATAGACCTTCTTTTGCTTCAACTCCATGAAGGTCTTTTTGGTGTGATCAGCAACACCCATGCCTGATGTAGCATTTGGCTGGAATTCAAACGCATCAGGGTCAAAAAATCTTTTTCATCGTAAACTTAATTTTGAATTCGAATGCACACACAAATATTCACAAGCCAAAGGTTGCTTTAAAGTTAGCCAAGTTAAGATCAATGCAATGCTCTTACGAATAAGAAACAACAGTGGAAAATTAACAATACCAAATAATGAATGATGTGCTCTACAAAGTAAATAAATTACTAAAATGGTTCAAAGAAACAGAAAATCACATTCATTATATGATATTCAACAACAGAGTTAGATAAAGAATGTTACCCGTCCTACTAAAGACATTGGCAAACTTGGATTTGAAGAAACACAAGCAAAGAAAACAAGGTATATAGAATGGAATTAAAGTATGCAGTGTAATAAACAGAAGAGATTTTATAAATAGTTAAAAATTCAGAAAAGAAAAGAAGATAGATATGAGATGGGGCGGTGCGTTGTAACAACGCTAAGTAGAACTTTATGTTGTCGGGGACCGTGAATCCACCACAAGACAAAGATTCTCCACCGTCCACGACCCCACTTTTGTCATTGCTTGCGTCATCCCTTCAACTCGAATCGCCGCGTATATTATTTATTTTTTCCCAAATTTTTTTTGGGTACAATTTATTTTTGAGTTTCTGCTAAATTAATTTTTTCAATTATCTTTTCAACAAAATCCAAAAAGATTACCCTAATTCATTTCTTATTTTATGATATTCATTTAAGTTTAATATTAGTGTGATGGGGAGATCGTCAATCATCTTTAACTTAAAATCGTAAATTAACTTTTTTATTTTATTTCATATCAGATCTCTCATCTTTATAATTATGGGAATCAATCAGAGTCTAATTTCACTTTTGTAACGCTCGACAGCTTCAAGAATCAATGCCACATATTAACACGAGACTTTTCAGTGTGTTTTTTTCTCACTGGCACACTTCTTGGGAAAAAGCACACTGAAAAGTCTCGTGTTAGTATGTGGGGATAGTCATTGATTCTTGAAGCAGTCGGGCGTTACAAGTGGTATCAGAGCAGTGCCTCTCTTCCAATACGGTGTGGTTCGAGGACGAACCAGACGAAAGCTGGTGGGCATGTAATATCCCGGGCGCTAACGAGGACGGGGAGTGATTGTTGCGAAAGTGCATGGACAAAGCGACGTGAGTGCATGAATGAATCAAATCAACATCCGAAAGAGAGGAATGCCAGATACTGAACTGGTATGAGACAATACAGTTTGGGATAGCTTATAAGAGTTAATTGGTACTACCTATACTAACAAGATGCATCTGCTTTTCGGTAGCCCGGAACGGAAGGACTCCACAGTTAAACGTGCTTGACTTGGAGCAATTCTGATATGAGTGACCTCCTGAGAAGTTTTCCCAGAAAGTGTGCGAGTGAGGAAAAAACACACTGAAAAGTCTCGTGTCAGTATGTGAGGATAGTCATTGATTCTTGAAGCGGTCAGGCGTTACAAGTGGTATCAGAGCAGGGTCTCTCTTCCAGTACGGTGTGGTTCGAGGACGAACCAGGCGGAGGCTGGTGGACATGTAACATCCGGGGCGCTGACGAGGGCGGGGAGTGATCGCCGGTGCGAAAGGGCATGGACAAGGAGCGGCTCCTGCCAGGCTTCCAGCGACGGGGGGGGCATGAATGAATCGAATCAACACTCGAAAGAGAAAGATTCCAGAGACTGAGCTGGTATGAGACAATACAGTTTGGGATAGCTTATAAGAATTAATTGGTACTACCTATACAAACAAGATGCATCTGCTTTTCGGTAGTAAGCGTACTTGACTTGGAGCAATTCTGGGATGGGTGACCTCCTGGGAAGTTTTCTCAGAAAGTGTGCGAGTGAGGAAAAAACACACTGAAAAGTCTCGTGTTAGTATGTGGGGATAGTCGTTGATTCTTGAAGCGGTCGGGCGTTACAAGTGGTATCAGAGCAGAGCCTCTCTCCTAGTACTGGTTCGAGGACGAACCAGGCGGAAGCTGATGGGTGACCTCCTGGGAAGTTTTCCCATGAAGTGTGCGAGTGAGGAAAAAACACACTGAAAAGTCTTGTGTTAGTATGTGGGGATAGTCATTGATTCTTGAAGCGGCCAGGCATTGCAACTTTAAATTTCTTAGAGATTTTAATTGGAAATTAGTATTTTTCTTTCTTTCTTTTTACGAATTGATTTTTTTTCTTCCTCTTAATTTGTAAAGTTGTGTTTGGATTAAGTAATCACTCCTTTGATTAGATTCATTAATAATTTTCTATAAAACAAAAATAATCAATTGAAGAATGAATTGTCTATGCTTTTGATTTATGATTAGGCCTATGAATTCTTGTTGCTTCAATTTTTTTCAAATTTAAAAAATACAAAATTGATAGTGCTCAGAAAGTAGCAAAAATAAATAAAAGAGTCTTATGATATTATTATTATTATTATTATTTTGGTAAACATGATATTTTAAATAGTTAATAAAATAATAAATAAAAACAAAATATTTAATATTTTTATAATGTTAAGAAGATTTAAAGATCGGCTTAAGCCATATAAGTGATATAACTATCGTACAGGGGCAATCAGTCATTTTGACCTCAAATCTTCTAATAAAGAGAAAATGAAAAGTAAGAGAACCTTTTCTGACGGGGAAGGATTATATTTATAAACTTTTTTGTTTACAAATTTTTACAAATTACACTATCTTCTCCTGGTAGAACATTCATTTCATTATGTTCTCAAGAACATAGTATAATTTGTAAAAATTTATCAAAAAAATTTGTAAACAGATACTTCCCTTATTCATTAACCATTTCATATATATTTTCTAAAAAAAAGTATGTTGAAAAGCAAAGCAGAAGTGTAGAACAACACTTTAGGGTCAATTTCCTTTATACGACTATCGAACAGATCCTGCAATGTCGGCAACTACTAATGGCATCTTTGGTTTCATGTTGAACTCATTCAAAAACTGCCTTGAACTTGGATATAATGCTTGATGAAACTCAATAAGCTAGATTCCTGATAAAATATTTGACTTTTGTATCAATTTAATAAAATTTTTAAAAGTTACAAGGAGGAAAGATCCGTTTACAAACTTTTTTGATAAATTTTTACAAATTACACTATGTTCTCTCGGGAGAACATAGTGAAATGAGTGTTCTCCAGGAAAAGATACTGTAGTTTGTAAGAGTTTGTAAATATAACCCGCCCCTGATGAATAATGATGAATGTCTGATTTTTAGGCGGAATGCCCCTGCTCTTACTCTTCGCTACTTTATTGAGGCTCTTCAGTTACCTTAAATCCAGAGGAATTCATATCATTTTGATTTATGCAAGGAGGGAGCAGCTTAGATCAGCCACAACTGACAACATTATCAAGGTTGGTCATCATGGATAGACTAGTCTTGTCTAGAGGTTAGTTCAATCCAACTCTTCCTCTCTTCATCTCTCACTACTGTGGTTCCTCATTCCATAACCAATGTACTATGTTTCCTAATTTTTCATCTATAGTAAATGCATTACTTGTTTCCCATTATAAACTTATAAAAAGGTGCACTAGTGTTTAAGGAATGAATTGGCAATTAAGCAGAAGCCAACTAGCTGATCCTTGTAACATAAATTTGGTAAGTTTTAATGCTTCTTAAATTTTTATTTCTCTTCTAAACATAAATTTGAAACCACTATGGTAAATTCTAAAAATCGTCAACATCGAATAACAAATGACTAGCAAGGGGAGTTTAATTTTATTTTTTTTCAAGATTTACTCATCCTTGTGGTTGTTATGTGTTGGCAGTTTCACATCCAGGCTAATATTAATTTCAAGCACTGAAAAGTCAATCTAATGTCTACCAAAACTTGTAGAAAGAAGGGTTACTTGAATAAATCAATTCAGATAGATATATTGTTCTTACTACAATCAAATAGCTACCCTTAGATTCTCATGACCATTTCTCTGTTACATCAGGAGCTCAAGTCAGGTCACAACTTCATGTGTGCTTATGTTATATCAAATGAATGAGCATATTTTTCTTGGCATTTGCAACTTGCAAGTTTGAGACTTGTTTGGATAAGAAAGTAATTCTTGCAGCCAATGGTATATCTCTAATTCTTCCACTTCTTGATTACTCTTAACACAGAAATTTGGGAGACTCATAAGTCTGCTTTCTTTTCTCTCAGCAAGAGCCAGAAGGAGTACTTGAATACCTCTTAAGGCCTAGAAGGCTGGAATGAAGATATACCATCAGCTTCAATGAAAACTTATAAATGATAAAAAAAAATTTCATACCATTTTTCCTCTAAATAATTTATATTTGATATTTTTTTTTAAAATAATTTTCTTTTGTGGAGGGGATAATTGTCTCATTCCAAAATGAAAATATACCATCAGCTTCAATGAAAACTTTTGATGATACTACAAGATGTTTTACTACTCAATTGACTCTCATTAGATAATAATTTATAATATCATTGAATTTTTTATATTAATATTTTAAATAGTCATATTTTATAATGTGTTTATCTAATTAAAGGTTCTTTATCTTATAATATATAAGCAAATGAACACATACATATTTTAGTATTTGAAATCTTTATTAAAATGATCGAGTTACATTTTTTAGTTTGTTATTTGCTTGTTTAGAAATGTACAAAAAAAAAAAACCCTTAATAAATTATTTTGTATAAATGTATTCAAAAATAAAACTTTTAATCAAAGTTTGTTATAAAAATGTTTATTGTAAATTCAAATAAACTATTTATTGAAAAGTTATATATTAGAGACAAAAAAAAGAGTATAATTTAAGCGCTCAAATTTAAGCTCCAGTAGTCAAGCATGGTGGATCCCCTATTCCGTTGCGTTCCCAAATTGATGTTTCAAGTTCCTCACTCTCGATTTGCTGGTATGTACCCTCTCTTCTATCTCTCTCTCTTTTCGCTTTTTATTTATTTATTTATTTATTTATTAATTTGGAGTGGGTTGTGTTCAATTTTTGAAAACCATAGGAGAATATTAAAATGAAGAAGAACGAAGGTGAATCTCACGTGTTCTGGTTCGAAACCTCAGACTCTGTTTGTTGCCGACACCAGTTTGAATCCGATGGTCAACTCACCGTATGTTTTCATCTCTTCTCTTAAATGGGTATTCTATTAGTATCTGAATGCAACAGATTGGGAATTGGGTATCTGAGTCCTTTTGGTTTCTCTTTAGGTAAAGCTTGTTGATGATTCCAGACCCTTATACAAAAGGGTTGTTGGGTCTTTCATGAATAAATTTTTCCCCTCGGGATATCCTTACAGGTTGTTTGATTTTTTCCTGAATATATGCTGTTTAGTTATGGCTTAGACAAACTAGTTCAATGACTCAGATTTTCAGTGTTTCCTGTGCAGTGTGAATGAAGGCTATCTTAGATACACACAGTTTCGAGCAGTGCAACATGTTAGCAGTGCAGCACTGTCAGTGCTATCAACTCAGGTCTCCTTCTGATAAATGGAAAATCTCAGTAAATAATGTAACCGGATACAAGTTCTTGTCTTTGACTTGGAAAATAAAACTTGATTGCATGACAACTGTGATATAAAATTCTCTTAATTCATACTTGATTTATTCCTTGCACATTATAGATATAACAATATACCAATCTGTGGGATACATTTTTTGTTGAGTGTAGTAATGTAATTTTTTATTTTTTTTTACAAATGGATCCTTATGGAATAATTGATTGTTAAGTGGGTCTCCTTGGTCTGTATGCTTATTCTTCTGCAGTCACTGCTTTTTGCTGCAGGGTTGCGGCCCACTCCTGCACAAGCAACTGCTGTTAGTTGGGTAATTTTATTCTGATTTGTAATTGGCAATTTCTCAGATCAGTAATAGTGAGATCTGTTTAATGTATAACCTGTTTGTCCTGCTGACATCCAGATTTTAAAGGATGGAATGCAACATGTAGGGAAGCTAATATGTAGCAATTGGGGTGCAAGAATGGATTCTGAGCCTAAACGTTGGAGACTACTAGGTTTGCATTTGGGCTAGGGCTTTTCTTCCCCCCTCTCCCCTTTTTATATTAGCTCTTGTTTGCTAAGTTCTCAAGTTGTCTGACTGTTATTATTTTTTCATTTTACAGCTGATGTGCTCTATGATTTAGGCAGCGGCTTGGAAGTGCTTTCTCCATTATGCCCACATCTTTTTCTTCAAATTGCAGGCCTAGGAAATTTTGTGAAGGTTTATATTTTTATTGAGGTCTTCAAAAATAATTTCGTAATTTGGCATTTGTTTGTTGCAATATAAAGTTGATTCAGTGCTAATTGTTCATTCAAGCCCATGTATGTCGTGATAGGGGACTTTAGCACCCTATTCTAGATTTCTAGTGAATTTGTTGTGTCTTATTTGTTTTCAGCTATTAACTTCTGTTTCGGTTATTATGGAGTCAACAGGGGATGGCAGTTGTTGCAGCAAGAGCAACAAGATTGCCTATATATTCTTCATTTGCTAAAGAAGGAAATCTCAGTGATCTATTTGCTAAAGGGGAGGCTTTTTCAACTCTCTTTAATGTTATTGGAATAGGAGTTGGAATTCAATTAGCATCCACTATCTGTACATCAATGCAGGGAAAGGTAAGAGATTATATTTGTTTGTTCTTGGGCTTTCATGTTCATTTTAATTTTCAGCTTTTGACTTACACAATTAGTCTGTGCTAACAATATATGTAATGTTTATCTTGGTTATGGTTGTTACTACTAGAATGCATGAGGATTGAAAGATTATACATTTTATGAAAACTTTTGAAGGTGCTTACACACCAATTCACCAGGAAAAAAAGGAGATGAAAAGCAAAATGTTAATTCAAGATAAAAATGGGTAGCAACTGGAGGACAAAATGTATCTTTTAGGAGAGATCTTTTGTTAAATTGGACTATGTATCTTGATATGTTTTATGTCACCCAGGTTTAGATAATCTTTTAAAAGAAATCATGATCCAAGCTTCATGATTATATTTCTAGCTAGCACCAACAAATTGAGGTTAAGTCTCGCTGGATAATGTATCTTCTTAACATGACAAGTTTGTATAGCCTTCGGTTTATTAATTCTTGGGCTCCATCACAAATATTTGGGTAAATTACACTTTACTCCCTGTAGCTTACCCTTTTTCAATAACCCCCCTCAACTTTTGTGTCACTTAACCCCTCTGCTTAACTTTGGTTTAGCTTGAAAACATTAACTTTAATGGCAGTGTAATATTTGCTCAACCTTAGGGGGGTAATGTTTAAACAAGTAGTAACTTTAGGAAGAAAATGTTAAATCACAGGAGGTTCAAGAGTAAAATAAACCATAACTGATGGTAGAGTTAACTGAAAAGTTAACGTTTCGTGGTAAATGTTCATGGAGTCATGCCCAAGGGCATATACGTGGTACATATTCTTTATTTGCAAAATCAGAGCCATTACTCAAAATATGAAAGGAAGCAAATATTTTTTTTAGGTCACCTTCTAGAGAAATAACTAATCATGTGGCATATTTTAATGATAAATATACATTGTATTGATGATTCCTAACTAATGGATTTTGAAACATTTTTTGTCAGTTTGTTGTGGGTCCTCTCCTTTCAATTATACATATATACAGTGTGTCTGAAGAAATGAGAGCAACTCCTATAAATACCTTGAATCCACGGAGAACTGCAATGGTTGTAGCTGATTTTCTCAAGGTCTGGTTTGAATTATTGTTATAAATGAAAACTCTCTTGATTTCCTTTCTTTATTTGAAAAAGGTGAAATGCTGTTTGAGTGTTAATTGAATTCCAAAGCAGGCAGGAATTGTATCAAGCCCTGCTGATCTAAGATACAGAGAGGATCTGCTGTTTCCTGCGCGACTCACAGAAGATGCTGGAAATGTTAGAGTGGGGAGGGCTTTGCACCAGGTTATTAAGCCTTCTAGGTTTCTTGAATTAAAACAAGTATTCCCTAAGGAGAAGTTTCTTTTAAATCGTGAGGGTAAATGCATTGACATGGTATTGGAGCAAAATGCTAGTGGTGAAGATGCTTTGAGAGGGTGGCTAGTTGCAGCATATGCTGCACAAATTGAGAGTTCCTTTCATGAGTTCAGTGCTAATGTCATGCAAGAAGCATACGAGAAAATGAATGGTGCCTTTCCTTTATTTTTAAAAGAACTACAGAACAAAGGGTGGCACACTGATCGTTTTCTGGATGGCACTGGGAGCAGATTTGCATTCTAGTGTTCAAATAAATCCTATATTGGCTTGAATACATTTTAACCATTCTTTGAGAGAAATTTTAATGGACTCTGGCTCTATTAAATCCAATGGTTCACATTACTTAGCTGAATTTAACTATATGTTTTAACTATTACTTCTTAAAAAATAATATTAGATATTAAAAAAAAAATTGCCTCGTGAATCTGTAAAGAGTCACAATGGCGTTTCTCTGCACAAATATAAAATTTAATAGTATTTGGTCCATGTCTAATAGCTTTAGACTTAGATGTCCTTATTATTTTTTCTTGACATTCATTTTTCAAATAAGAGAAATAAAAAAGTACCAATGAGTAAATGGTGCGCAGTCAGAAAAAATTGGTAGATTTTAATGAAAATTTATCAAAACTGTGATTGTTAGATAAGTCGTAGAAATGAGGAATAATAGAGTTTAATGCATATCAGTAAAAAATTATTTACACCATCATCTAATGATCTATTGAAATATTATTAAAAAAAGATAGACATCCCAAGTAAAGGTTGTGATTGTTAAATTTATTTTAATAATTTGATAATAATAGATTAAATAATTAACAAATATTTCTACCTAAAGTTCCTACATAATATTAAGTGCAAAACTCTTATATAGATTTAAAAAAAAGGATAAAATATACAGAATTATTAATTGTATATGAGTTTGTTCAAACAAAATGATTGCAACTCACACTCAAATACTTTCCATTCTTCAAGGAAAAGTGTATCCTTTTGAATGCTAATTGTAATATATATATTATAAAAATATTTCTCAACCTACTTAGATATATTTATCTTTGGTCACACCAAAATTACGTTATTTTATTTATTTATTTACTTATATTAATTGATTCGCCTTTGAATGGTTATGATTTCATTTTTCTCTCTCTTCCTTTATCACCATTGATCTATCTTTGTACGGTTATAATTTAGTGGTCGGAGATAAAGTTATCTCAATCAGCTTGAGAAACGATAAGCCATATATGTATATATATATATATATATATATATATATATATATATATATATATATATATATAGAGAGAGAGAGAGAGAGGGGTAGAATCCTTTGACACCAGTGTCAAATTTCAAAGTTGAGATCTCATCTGATAGCCGTTAGATAAAAAAAATCACTGGTGTCACATGCTTACAAATCAGAATCATTGATCTTTTTTGATCTAACGATTATAAGATGAGGTGTCAAAGGATCCTACCTCATATATATATATATATATATATATATATATATATATATATATAAAGTATTTCTCCAGTCACTGGAGATCAATATGAAGATAGGTTGTCTTCAGTGATCCCCAAAACTACGTGATTTTGAATTAATGAAAAGTTATTTTCGTAATTTTAGGAGAATTCATAAAAGGGTGTTTCGGTAAAATTCATATGATAAAAAAATAAACAAAATTATGAAAATACCCTTCATTAATTTAAAACAACATAGTTTTAGGGGTCACTGAAGATAACTTATCTCCAGTGACTGGAGAAATACTTTACTATATATATATAGGCTTTAATGTTTCTAAAGTGAATGTAGATAAGTTATCTACATTCGCTCCCAAAACGACGTCGTTTTGAGTTGAAAAATTAAAAAATTATGATGAAAAAGACTATTATAACCCTGAAATAAATTATAATTACAAAAATACCTTGATTTTCGTCTCAAAACGACGTCGTTTTGGCTCAATGTAGATAAGTTATCTACATTGACGGTAGAAAAAGCAAACATATATATATATATATATATATATAAAGAGAGAGAGGTAAAATCATTTTTACAATCGCTTTACGTACAACAATGACAGGTGTATCGTTATAAGTCCTCATATTTAATGCTTTCATCTTTTATATGGTTATGATTCCCTCCATTTAATACTTTCACACATATATATATGACAAGTATTTGACTGTTGCATGTACAGCAGCTGCAGAAAACATCAACGACTATGATTTGTAAGCATGTTACACCATTGATCTTTTTTTATCTAACGGCTCAGATGATGTGTCAAATTTCAAATTTGACACTGGTGTCAAAGGATCCTACCTCATATGTATATATATTTCTCAACTCATAATTTTATTTTCGACCACCCCAAAACTACATTATTTAGATACATGATTATATTAAAAGAAAAAATATAAACAAATGGATGATTTTTTTTAAATGGTGCTTTTCATTTTATGAGTGTGTTTGGATACAACGTTTATAAAAAAGAAGCAAAAGTAAGAAAAAAAATGAGCCTTTTTTTAGAAGTCAAAATTTGTGTCTTTATGAAAAAAATTCACAATACTACTTTTTAAATATTAATTCAAACACAAATTAATTGTAACTTTTGAAAGAACTCATTTAAAAAATTAATACATAAATTTTTTTATCCAAACGGTCTAATATATTATTTTTAACTGCAAGTATAAGTGTGGTTTCCTTAAATAAATTTAAGTTATGATTTAATAAAAAATTGCTTGTCTTAGGGGCGGTGCACAATAATAAATGTTTTATTTTTTATTTAACAGAGGGCTATGATAGCATACAGTACTTTTTCGTCGTAAATAAACACTTACAATCTATGTTCTGTATAGGTGCCTTCTTTTTGCTGTTTTCAATAACTTCTCACAAATTGGAGTTCCCCGTCATATATGCCAACTTGATATTTCAAAATATTTTACAAATTAAAACGTTATTATTGATAAATCCTTGTTGAAATTTGTTTAATATAATGATAACATTGATGTTAGAATTTATAATCTTATTAATGCTGAAACTTGTGCAAAATTGACCGAACATATTAATTTGGATTCAGAGTAACCACAATTCAATAAAAAAAATTAAATAAATTAAGATTCACATTATGATATGCACCTTCCAAATGATTCCACAGATCCCACAGATTTCATAGCTATGGAAGATAAAAAGGACCACGAGAGGCAAAGAGGGGAGGAGATGAACAGAGGTGGTCAACGTGGGGAAGGGAAGAGGGAGAAGAGAACAACTCAATGGCTTAGGGACTTCGTGATGTTGACAGGGGTCTGAGTTGTGGACTTGTGATGATAACAGGTGGCTTAGTTGGTGGACTTATGATGTTAACAGTTGGCTGAACGGATAATGTAGAAAGTGGATCGTGGGCTGCGAGTGATAGGCCCATTACTTGCTGATCAGCAAGAATAGTTAGAATAAACGGGCTTAGGATATACATAGGCCCATTGTTAGTTTCCTTCTGAATTTTGTATTGTGTTTGTCATATAGGCTAGTAGGGACCACAAGGGGGTTTAGCCAAAAATCTTGTAACAAACTTCTTCTACTCTCTTGCTAAAACCTTCTGGAGTTGCTGGCATCCTCGAATCTGCCGTTGTTAATATCAATTTCATTGTGTTTTTCTTCCTTGACGTTTATTAAGATCAATGTTATAAAAACCGGACCGACTCGGCCGGGTCGACTCGAAAATCGGTGAATCGGTCATGTAACCGATCCGGTTTTCATATTGGACCGGACATGTTACAGACCCGGTGCGACCCGGCCGATTTTCGTAAAAACGATGATCCGGCCCGGACTATAAAAAAATATTAATTTACTTTCATAAATTAATGTCTTTTTTTTTTTTACTCTCAAACACAAATGATTTATTTCCTTTTGAAATATTTGAGTGATTTGTAGCTCATTAACTTACAAAGATTATGGACATACAAAGAGGGGAAGATGATTGAGCTGCAGGGAGAGACAAAGATGTAAGTAGAACCAATAGAACTACATCAACTCCGCAGGCTAACCAACTCTGATGCTGTAGCTATCCAATTACAGACTGTTGATCACCAGCACTCAAGGGAACCTTACATAGAGGAAAATTGTCATTCCTTGATACAACCGGTACTGCAGGAGTATGAAGATATTATTGCTACTCCCAGCCAGATTCCACCCTCACGGTTAGAACATCACTGAATCCATCTTGAACCTGGAACAATGGCAGTAAATGTTAGACCATACAGGTATCCTTATTTCCAAAAATCTAAAATTGAAAGGATGGTGAAAGAAATGCTAGATATCGGTGTCATCAGACCTAGCTTGAGTCCTTTTTCATCACCAACCCTATTGGTAAAGAAGAAAGATGGAACTTGGAGGTTCTATGTAGATTACAGAGCACTAAACCAAGTCACCATACTAAATCGGTTTCCAATCCGTACAGTAGATGAGATGCTAGATGAGATAGCATGGGCAGCCATTTTTTCCAAGATGGACCTACGCTCAGGGTACTATCAAATCAGAATGGCTCCTGAGGATGTTTATAAAATAGCTTTTAGGACGCACCAAGGACACTATGAGTTCATAGTAATGCCCTTTAGGCTCACTAATGCACATGCAACCTTTCAAGGTATTATGAATTCGATTTTGAAGGAATTTTTGCGCAAGTTTGTTATAATGTTCTTTGATGACATACTGATATACAGTAAGTTATTAAGAGAGCATGTGGAGCACTTACAACAGGTTATGGAATGTCTTAGACAACATCAGCTGTATGCCAAAAGATCAAAGTGTGCCTTTGCTCAGGAGGAAGCGGAATACTTGAGCCACATAGTGGATGCAAAGGGGGTACGACCTGATGTGGGAAAAATTCAGGCAATAATGGATTGGAGTAAACCATCCAACCTGAAACAGCTGCGCGGGTTTCTTGGATTGGCAGGTTATTACTGCAAGTTTGTTCACGGTTTTTCGCAAATTGCAGCTCCCTTAACTGCCCTGCTACACAAGGATGCCTTTAATTGGAATGAGAAGGCACAACATGCTATGTTGGAACTAAAGAGAGCTTTATCCAACCCACCTATATTAGCACTACTAGATTTCACAAAGAAATTTGTGTTGACTACTGATGCTTCAGGTATTGGGGTGGGAGCGATGTTGAGTCAAGACAATCGACCTATAGCCTACTTCAGTAAGAAACTCAACCCTAAGATGCAACAGGCTTCAACCTACGTGAGGGAGATGTTTACGATCACGGAAGGGGTTTCTAAATGGAGACAGTACCTCCTAGGGGGACCTTTCATCATTAGGACCGACCAGAGGAGCCTCAAAGACAT